TATCATGCTTAGTACAGGCCGATCTTCGGATCGGGCGAGCTGGGGTGCTCATAGCTGACCTTCCCTAATCGTACCTAAGTTCTCGAGCTAAGACAACTTTGATGATGACGGACACATGGCCTTAGGCAACGAGTCAGGGTTTCTTAAATTCCCCCAAAATAAAATATTTAGGTGGCGACTCTGTATCTGACAAAGCAGTCCATGTTTGGCACTTCTTTCTAAAAATCTGTTTTCAAAACGATTTGCTAGATTTGGACTCTTTGATGATTCATCGGTCTTGCATTGCACTCTGCGAGATTAGATACAGGACCGTGACATTTGAGTCCGAACTGTGGTGAACCCCAAATGAACAAAACGAGATTCCCTCCCAGGACGTTCGGGGACGTCCACAGTTTCTGGCGACTCTACTGGGGAATTAGAGAACTTGACTCGAACTCATGATATCTTGTTTTGACTACACTCATGTGTTTCTTTGCATTGCATGTGCATTGGTGCGCCTAGGACACCGTGTTTGCCATCTATTATTCCTAAACGGTTTGCCGGAGGCTCGCTTTGAAGAACGTGCCATAAGGCTGACTGGTTACGGGCTCTGCTACGATGGGAACACAAACCTCGGTTGTTACCGAGGCATCCTTTTTGACCATTCGGCCTAGTGCATATCGTAATCCATAGTGACCATTCCAAGCTAAGACAGGTTGCTTACCCGATTGTAGGCTGTTTGAAACCGCTGCGTGCGTAGTGAAACCCTAGCTCCTAACAAAATAAGACAGGGAAATCCTACCCCAACATAGGGGTGTTTTGGCTCTCATTTGCTTGTTATATGTGCTTTTAGAGCTGACCTCTACAGGGAACGCACATATCCGTTTACAAGGACTGGGCATCAGGTCTACAGGCATCAGTTCAGTGTTTTGAGAATCAGTTATATCTGCGGGTATCAGACTCAATTTTGGGGCAGTAGTTCAATTGTGCTTACAATTGTTTGGGTAAAATTGGGTTGAGCTGCTTCCTGTTTTCTTTTTCAGGAGGAGGGGGGAGTTTCAGATATCTAAGTTTAGAATAGCCAGTGTTCTCCTTCGCTGAAGCAAGGCAGATATCTGATCAGTCAAGTCACCAGTCACATCACCTCCATTCAGTTTAGCGAATTTATGATGTCATAGAATTCAGAAGAAGTTGTGGTTATGACAGTCACACTAAATCAAGGGATCATCTTACAGGGTGAGACCGATGTTGAAATATCACACCCATCTAGGTCGCCTGCTGCGCGCCTGATCTGGGAACCCCAGTTGTTTCAAGCTTTTGAACCCACCACATTTGAGTTAATGGGAATGATCGGCGACCTCCAGAGATCTGTGGCTAACCTAGCCTATGGGATGTCAGCCCCGCCGCCAACTGCATCGTATGTCGGGAATTTCATGCTGCAGGAGCCCCCGCTACTAGGGCGAATTGTAATTGAGCTCAGCCAACCGGAAGCTGTCCTGTTTTGGTGAAATCAGGCTGAGATGTTGTCTGTTTTCTTCTTTTGCTAGGTAGTCTTGGAACCATAGTTTCAGAAAGCTCCGACATCCCCCAGGTACATTGGACTTGTGTTGGTAGACTTTGTTAGGTCAGAGATTCAGTTCAAGGGCAATCAGTGTTCCTTCGCTAGAGGCAGGGCAAAAAGGCCAGTCTGGCACAGATCACCAGTTCAGTAGTCTTTAGATCAGCGGTCATTATCCATCTCCCCTGTGCGCAATTGGACTGAGATATCTGCTTCCACCTCAGAAAGGGAATACACACATATTCAGTCAGATTCGCAATTTTCAGTTAATATAGAGGACATGATGCGTCAACTCCAAGAGACTGTGCAAGCCATGCAGCGGGATGCTACCCGCTAGGCAGAGATTACCGCCCGTCAGGTAGAGGTTGTGGCTCAACAAGCAGACTTAATCGCTAGGCTTCAGCAACAACAACAACATCAACAAGCCAGAGCGTCTGCTTCGTATCCACCCCCACCCCCACCTATGGTTCCAACACCCAGGGAGGCGGCTCACGTCCAGGAAAATACGAACGTTCCGACAGGGCCAGTCCCACTGCCAATCCCACCTCAACTGTCCAAAGTGCCGGTTAATCCAGTGGACATGCCATTTGAATTTGAGGTTGATCCAACCGCCCTAAAGGTTAGCAAGCTTGAAAAGCTATTCAAAAGAGCTCAAGGCGTTAACTTCATTCTGAATATAGAGGATGGATTCACCGACTCAACAGTGACATTGCCGGACCGGTTCAAAATGCCGCATATAGACCGTTTTTGACGATTCTGGGGATCCCATGGTACATCTGCGATTGTTTTCGGATATCTTATAGCCAATGGGCCTCTCCAGATTGCAAAAGCTTTCAGTCTTCGGCCGGACCTTGTCAAGTATCACAGCCATCTGGTACGCCATGCTAGAGGACTCAGTGAAAAGAAGTTGGGAGGAGATGGCTAAGGCCTTCGTTGCCCAGTATTCATATAACACACAAATCAAGGTCACAACTCGTGATCTTGAGATAACCAGGCAAGAGCCAAAAGAGGGCTTATCTGACTTTGTAACCCGTTGAAGGGCCAAAGCTGCTATGATGACCACCAGGCCGGTCGAGAAAGATCAGATAAGGATAGTTGTGCGCAACCTCCAACCCAGGTTGATGCAAAAAATGATAGTCTTACCCCTCCCCACCTTTGCCGACTTGCACGAGATTGGGGTACAGATTGAGGACGCTATGATGCAGGGCCTTATTGACCAGGAGAAGAAGCAACCTAGGAGGGCGTTTACCCGCAGTTCGAATGCGACCACCAGTGGTGATGCAGCTGCTAGAACTTCAGATGTGGGCATGGTCACCACCACCACACCAAAAACAGCCACCCCATTCACCGATGCATCCGGAACCAGCTCACAAATAGCCAAATATCCACCCTGAGGCAAGAGGGTTTTCACCCCGCTTTATATGCCTTTGTCTAAAGCCCTAGGGATCCTACTTAGGAAAGGACATCTGAAACTGTTAGAACAGCGGCCTCTACCCGATCCTCTCCCTCCAAAGCATGACCCGGCTACATACTATGCCTTTCATCATCAACAGGGTCATGATACCGACTCTTGCTTCAGATTACGTCATGAGATTCAAAATCTCATTGACAACCAGGTAATATCACTTCTAAAAAAACCAACTGTCAATCAAAACCCTCCACATAGGCAGGTAAACTTCATCCAAACAATGGCCAACCCTTTTGACCCTAGTATATATATCACCTCAGCCCATTTACCCAAGCCTGAGGTGTTTATTCCAGTAACCGTGGACTTATGCATGATAGGTGTACCTGAACCCCAATCGTCTCAAACCCGTGAACCCACTACTTCTGAGCTGGGAAGCATGATTGAAGATTTGCAAAGAACTGTGGCAAATTTAGCCTTTGGAATTTTAGCTCCATCGTCGACCACATCACAGGCTATAAGTTTCAATCCAAAAGGCTCCTCAATCTTGTTGCAAGCTGCAACTGAAAAGGGGCAAGCTGCAACTGAAAAGGGCTAACCTGAAGTCCTTTTAGATCTGGGTGATGGTATGTCGACAGCAACTGGGCTTCGCTCTGATACGATGACCCAATCCCTTGGCAAAGTAGAGGCAAGTGGCAAGAACAAGGTAGGGGCAGGCATTGGTCCCCATGAACACCTTTTGTGGGCTGTTGAGGCTTTGAAGGCCGAAGGATTGAACAAACAGCAAGTGCTCGCAGTTGTTGCAAAAACTGTGGATGACACTTTCGCCACTCAAGTTAGGGGCAGTTTGAATCAAGGAGCAAGCCGGGACAAGGGATGTCATACCAGAAACACCCTTCTGGAAGTTTATACTGAATATATAAAGAATTACCACTTGCACTTGTAAGTGACTGGGTTGTTTTATGAAAGTATTTAGTAGGAATTAATCCTTCCTGAATACAATTCATATCAGCTCCACTATCGACAAGGGCGATGGCGTCTTTTATAATAAAATCTGGTTTTATCATAAAAGTAATTCCGGTATACCATTTCTGGAAAGTAACTGTGTTAATGATCATGAGATAATCAGTCTCTTTTGGTGCTGGATTAGGAATAGATTCGGGAGTAGATTCATTTATTACGATTCCCTTCTCCTTATCCTGGATCTTACTATTAATCTTTTTAATTTCAGAATTAATAGTAATATTAGAATTTTGTAAATGTTTAATTTCAATTTTTAAAGCATTTACTTCCATTTTTAAGTCCTGGATAGTTAAAGGTTTTTCTTCGGTAACAGGTTGAAGTCTTTGAAAAACTTTTTTCATACTGTAATGTTGAGGAGGAAGAATTTCCTCCTTCTTCTGATGCTGCAAACATAACTCTAAGAATTTTAATTTTATTTCTGGATTAGAAATTTGATCAGCAAAAAGTTCTTCTTCTGTAAGAACGTTGATACTGGGTCCTCCAATATCAAGTCCATTCATTTCAACTATGGTTTTCCAATAGTTGACTTCATCAGATATCTGCTTGATGTGAGTTTTACATTCACAAATTTCTAGAGAGTCATCAGACTCATTTTCAGTTTCTGAGGAATACAAAGCTGCAATTTCATCTTCTTCATCAGAAGAAGTGTCTGATTCATCAGAAAGTAATCTAAGAATCTGTTGCTGGATTTCATTATCTATCGATAATTCATTAAGTTTCTGTTGTAATTTGGATTTATAACGATTAGCATAATGACCTATCTGTCCACACTTGTAGCATTTAATTGTGGATTTAGATTTCTTTTGGGAATACTTTGGTTTACCTTTAGAATGTATTTGTGGCTGATTTGGATTTTTAACATATTTATGTTTCCTGGATTTTTTGGAATAATACTTTGAAGATTTTCCAATTTTATGTCTTTTCTGTTTATGAGGATACTGTAATTTTGTGTCATATGCGAATTGTTCACAAAACTCATCTAATTCTTTCTTTCCTGTAAGATGTTGGTATTTCATCTGTTGCTATAATTTAAGATCATTGCATAAAGCATTCATTCATTTCAACTATGGCTTTCCAATAGTTGACTTCATCAGATATCTGATTCATGTGATTTTTACACTCACAAATTTCTGGAGAGTTATCAGACTCACTCTCACTTCCTGAGGAGTATAAAGCTGTAATCTCATCTTCTTCATCAGAAGAAGTGTCTGATTCATCAGAAAGTAATCTAAGAATCTGTTGCTGGATTTCATTATCTATCGATAATTCATTAAGTTTCTGTTGTAATTTGGATTTACAACGATTAGCATAATGACCTATCTGTCCACACTTGTAGCATTTAATTGTGGATTTAGATTTCTTTTGGGAATACTTTGGTTTACCTTTAGAAGGTATTTGTGGCTGATTTGGATTTTTAACATATTTATGTTTCCTGGATTTTTTGGAATAATACTTTGAAGATTTTCCAATTTTATGTCTTTTCTGTTTATGAGGATACTGTAATTTTGTGTCATATGCGAATTGTTCACAAAACTCATCTAATTCTTTCTTTCCTGTAAGATGTTGGTATTTCATCTGTTGCTATAATTTAAGATCATTGCATAAAGCAAGACCTTCATCAGTAATTAGTCCTACGAGTTGACCATAGGTATATCTACTGTATGGGATAGCCAATTGGTTATGACGATCTCTTAACTTCTTTCTAACTCTTTCTGCAAAAAGAGTAGGAAGACCATCAATAAATTTGGCTTTCCAATGATCTGAATTGGCATCTGCTCTACGATGTACTTTCATCAGGAATACATCCTTATACCATCTAAAATGGGATAAAGATAGACATCGTAACTTCTGTAATAGTTCTCTACTTCGATCTTCAATGCCTGTGACAGCACCAATAAAATGGAGAACTATAGTGTTTACTAAAGTGTAAACAGCATCTTGTTCAGTAGATTCAGCTCGAGTGTCGGGATCAATTTTTATACGAGTAGAATTTAAAATTTCATTATTTTGTGCGGTAGTGAGAACATTATCCCACCATCCTTTAAGTAACCCGGTAAAGCCACTGACTATAAATCGGGCAACTTGATGGTCGGTATTTTCATTTTGTTTGCACACAGTAGCAAACATAAGCATATGCTGAAGAACTTCGAATATTTGATATTCTGTAAGGCCATCAATATTCCATTCATAAATGGTTTGATTGTGGTAAGATTTTTGACTATGGAGGAAATCTTCTTCATAAAGAAGATCCATGGGGCTAGGTCTGGAATAATAATATCTGCTTGGTGCAGTATAAGCAGTTCTGTCAATATTTGTCCCATAATGGACTTTATTTATTGAAGAAGGTTCATTTTGAAAATTAACCTGGATTTCAGATATTTGATGAGGATCCAAATTCTGATAATTTTCATCTATCTCCTGAAAATGATTTCTAGATAACATATTAACTTGTGAGGATTCTCCTATATGAAGATCTTTAATCTTGTTTAAAGAGTATCCATAAATTCTGTATTATCTTTTTTGGGTTTTAAATTAAAATTGGTTACTGTAGGAGTAGGCTTAAAAGCTACAAGTTGAATGTCTGGAATCTTAGGTTGGAGATGACAGGTGTCCTTAATATGAACAACTGTTTCTTCAATTCTAGTTAACTGTTTTCCCATAGTTTGACAGAAAAGATTAGTATAATTATTCTGTTTTAAAATAGGAATAATTTCCTTAACTGTCACAGCATTAGTGCTTTTTGTAGGAGGTTCTACAAAAGCAGTAATAACTAAGGGTTAGTAATTCTAAAGATTTAGCAGGAGGATGTACTGATGTAATAATATTACCATCAGTAGTTACCCAATTTTTTTGGATATTTTCTAAGACATTTATTTGTGAATTGGATATGTTACCACTTTCCATGAACCATAATGGAAAAGATTGAAGGTTCTGGTAATCTTCCAAATATTTATAATACTGGGTTTTAATTTCTGTTAATTGTTCTGGAGTGTGATTTGCCAAATACCATTCTCTGAATTTTGCATATTTTTTCTGGTAGAAATCATGATTTAGGATTTTCCTGGTTTCACTTCCTAGACTAAAATCCATTAAACTTCAAAATTCATATCGCTGGAAGTAGGACTATAAGGTCCTTTGCTACTGGATTCCCTAGGTTCATAAATTCCATGAGGGATTCTGTTGGTTGAAAACTGTAATCCTTGTACAATTGGATCCATAGGGTCAATGTGGTCTGGATTACTTGGTGGTCTAGATGGCATACCTTGTATAACAGATTCTACTGGTTCAGCACTAGAGTGTCTGGATGACTCAGGAAAGTCTACCCTATATGCTTCTCTAAAAGAAGGAGTAGATCTGATGCTAGCAGTTGACATACTTCTGGATAATTGCTTTTGAGGTCTTTGGAAACGAAGATAAACATTACCTCCTTCTGTCTGTATAACATCATCCAAATTGTGTCGAACAATTGGTCGAGGAGGAACAACATTAGTTATTTGCCATTTTTCTGAAAAGGTAATTTTTTCCCATTCAATCATTTTAGGCACAGCAACTTGACTACTGTAAAGATTGGTGTCAATAAGCACTGTATGACCTTGATCACTCTGCTTTCTAATATAAGAATTTAAAGTTGATAAAACCTTTAAATAAATTCTGGATATAACTGTAAAAGGTGGTGATCCTGGAAGATACTCATAACCATGAGATAAGATTCTCAGTTCTAAAACCTTAGATAGGTTTTAATCTGATAGGGCTACATGCAGGTTGGGATATATGTCGAAATATACTGGACCATGAGCTACGCTGGTTTCTATGGCTCCCATGAGCGAAGCTCTCCAATTGGTACACCTACCATCTCGTAGTGTACACTAGATACTAGTATTTTGACCTAAAAGAGTCAGAGGCTTAAAGGCGACCTGGATAAGTCCTATGTGAACATATTTGTATTTTTCGAAGAAAGGATAAAGATCCTGAAGTTGTATTAAATACATAAGTTCATCATTATTCTGGACTGAAGTTGTATGTTCAAAAGTTTTAATGATTCTTCGACTGGAGAAATCATGCTTACCTATCTTGTAGATGGTGTCTAGTTTTACTTTCGGTATGGTCCACTTATCAAGTGCCTCCTTGACATCTTGATAAACAACTAGTTCTCTGGCTTCTGATGTAGAAGCTACCGTATTGGCCACTGTGTTGGCTACTGTAGATGTAACATCTTCTGTAGGAGCGGTAGACATTATGTCGTATGATGACCATAAAGGTATAATTAAAATAATATAAAATTAACTATAATCAACATTGAACGTGGCTTTGATACCAATAAAGCACGTCTGTCAAAGGGTTACGAGAAGGACCTAACCGCAATTCCTGCTAACGGTCTGACTCTACGCGACTTGGGTGATGTCCCACTAACCCTAGCACTGTACTACCCATCATTAAGCACTAACCTAAGAATAACATTACTTATAGTTTTATTTTATTTTATCCTAATTATGACATCTATGGTCTCATAGTCTACTGTGCTGGAGGGGGAGGCCTAACGGCCGTAGCCAAGAGGTAGATTTGTTCCTGGATTTGCAACTGGACTTGGTCAATCTGGCGATTAGTTTCTTCTAATTGCTGGAGACCCCAAGGGTCATTAGGCCAAATAGATAAAAAATTGTTTAAAAAATTATTTCTTCTTTCAATATGAAAAGCTAATATATCATTTAATATAACAAGAGTATAAACAGACATACATTAAAAGAAGGGTAAGGAATACTTACAACCAGTACTGCAACTATGCTTTTATTATACTTCAAACGGTTGAAAGAAAATTACACAATGAGAGAGAGGAAGAAAATACAGACTTGTAAACTGAAAAACTTAAAAATTCAAAAGCGTGCCATCAACAAGGGTGAGGCATCCCTTATATAATAAAAGAAAAGATAATGGATAAAGATGAGCAAGACAAGTGGCGTGTCCTGGCTGGCTTTGGAGTCGATCATCTTATCTTCTCGGGATTCCCTTATCTCGTGGTGTCGGTAGATAGACAGCAGGAGGATAAGGCAGATGAAGGAATCTGCTTTTAGCCAAAAGTTATTTTGGCATGTTGTTTAAGCTGTAAAGTTGCTAAAGTTGCTACCGAAAGTAATTTTGTCGTAGCATGAGGCTGGATCAGTGGAGGATAAAGAGGCAAATTATTGCTCTTTTCCTTTTCCTTTCTTGTCTTTTTCTTGACTCATCTTGTCGGTAATCAATCCTGTGAGTGAGTCCCAAAAATCTCCAAAATTTGGATCTGCATCTGCTGGCTCTTGTGAGTCACCTGCCAGTACTGTAAACTCATTTTCACCCTCATAGGGATCAGTATGACCTTCATCTGGATCGCCGTAGCTGGTACCAGATTTCATGCTAGTATCATCACGGTTGAATGACTGGAGAAATTGTTCTTTCATGTAGTCCATGCTTTTGATGACTAATTCCTATTCTGAAAGTGCGGGATATTTCTGTCACAATTCATTTTGAATTTTGACAAATGGATTCTGGATTGTAGATGCAGTTGGGATAAGCTTAGGAGTAGCATCTCAACAAGCCTAAGTATGACCTTTAATTTTCTAGAGCAATGCTTGATGGGGTTTTGGATCATCCATCTTATTCCACTATTTATAAAAGAAAACTCTTTTTAAACGGGGAATTTTATTCTGAAAATCACATTGAAAATCCCACTTCCAAATCCAAGGGATTCCGAAGTGGATTACAAAATGAACTGTAGATTTGGACATAGATATGTCCTTGTGTCCTGGAAGGTGACTGTATGCAATTTGCCATTCTTTGAAGGCATTGCGAACATCTTCTGGAAAAGCATCAATTTGAATGCCAAACGTATCCCACCAAACGAGAAACCAGTTAGGGAGATCATTTTGTAAAAGTTCTGGAAGGACACGGATGAACCAAGAATGGTTCCGTGGGGGATTCATATAATAAAATGCTTGAGAAAAAGCATTAATATAATCCCAATAGCTATAACAAGATTCCTTATTACGGATCTCAAGGGTACGAGTAACATGAGGATGCATGCCCCAAGCCGGCATGGGCAAGATCTGCTGGATAGTAGCTTTGTTGTAATTAATAGGACTAGCTGTGTGATTTGGCAAGTGAGCATGTGCGATAGATATACAAAGTGAAGAGAGTGTGATAGATACACAAAGGTGAACGAAGTGTGATAGATACACTAAGTGAACAAAGTGTGTCTATCACACTCTGTTCATATTGTGTATCTATCACACATGTTCATTTTGTGTATCTATCACACATGCTCACTTTGTGTATCTATCACACGTTCGCTTTGTGTATCTATGACACATACTTACTTTGTGTATCTATCACATGTTCGCTTTGTGTATCTATCACACATGTTCACTTAGTGTATCTATCACACTTCGTTTACTTAGTGTATCTATCACACATGCTCACTTAGTATATCTATCACACTTTGTTCACTTAGTGTATCTATCACACTTCGTTCATTTTGTGTATCTATCATACATATTCACTTAGTGTATCTACCACACTTCGTTCACCTTTTGTGTATCTATCAC